TACAAAGAGCAGAGTTAAAAGGGAATCTGAGCTAAAACGGTTCACTCTGCGAGTTTGGATTGTAAACATGCGCCGAGCGCTGGTTGTTTTACAACAAACTCACTTTAAAAAATGACGTCTGTCAAATGCGGTGAGAAATGCTGTGCTGTTTGGTTCCGTTTTTTTTTTTTTTTCTTCCCCTCTGAGTTAGATGAGAAGATTGATTTCAGTCGAACTCTTCCACTTTTTTTTAAGGAGGATTGTAAAAAAAAAAGAAAAAGTGGAAAAAAGAGGCTAAAGATCACAGGTGTAAAAAAAACTTTTATTATTTTTAAAGTCCTTTATTGGTGCAGTTTGATTTTGATTTCCATTTCAAATTCAAAATTCAAATCCTAAGATAAATATGGAGTCGACGTTCACATCAGCTCACCTCTGATAAACCACATAATATCGGCCGACCCAAAAAGAACTGCGCCCCCTAGAGGACAAAAATAATCTTCTGTTCTCTAGAGAGGGGGCATGGCAGAAAATAATTGAGAAACACAACTGTTGTCCCACCTGGCAGAAAATAATTGAGAAACACTACCGTTGTCCCACCGTATTGGTATCGGTTGATATCGGAATCGGAAATTCGGTGTTTGGACGTTATCTGCAAAAAGTTAATATCGTACAGCCCTAATTAGAATAATAAAAGAAACCCCCCCCCCGTGTCCTACTGTGTAAGGACGATCCAGTTTTTATTGACCTGTAAGGACGATGTCGGTCTCACCGTCCAATCCAGTTTTTATTGACAGAAAGAAAAAGAAAAAAAATGAGGCAAAGATTTCATCAGAGGACACTGAGATCACGGTCATGTCCAACCCAGACTCAGAGGTGAGACAGTCAGTCTGACTCAGTCCGCCTGTAATAAACACCAAAAATAACAAAACTGCTGGAGACCAGTTGCTAAGAAACCAGGGTAACCTCCCAGGAGTCTTTGCTGCAGTGAGGGTCAGGGGAATTTGGATATTCAAACCCAGCCCGTCCGCACGGCTTCCCCTTTTTTGTTTACCATTTGCCTGTTTGTCTGTGCCAACCCTGACTCCTGCAGCCGCGCTGCACATCGGTCTTCTCATCTAACAAACAAACAAACAAACAAACAAACAGGAACTGCTCCTTTAACCTGTTAAAGTGGATGAATCATTTGTTGACAGAAGACAACACTCACTCACTCACGGTCATTTCTCATCTCATTAAAAATGAATAGTGTGTTCGGTACTTTACGTAAAGCCTTCACAGGAAATGGACGTAGCCTCACGGGTGTAGAAGTGAAGCCTGAAGCCTCATTTTGACTGGAAGTCCACGAGAAGTGACGATGACCTCCGTTGACCTCTATTGGAGAGAGAAAAAAAAATCTGTCACTTCAATAAATTCTGATCATATTTAGAGTAAAATGAACAGTAAATCATGACAGGAAAAAACGCTGTCCTACTGATTGGATCTTGACCATCCAATAGTGATCTTGTCGGAGCTAACAGTGTTAGCTCTTTGTCCCCAGTACTGTTTCCTGTGGTGCTTTAATGTCTATTTTCCACTAAATAGGATCATAATTCTCAAAAAGCATTAGTGTTCGTGGCTTCGCTGTTTGGCTACGTCCGTTTTTTTTTGTTTTTGTTTTTTTTTACATGTCCATGTTAGTGTGTGATGTTAATTACGAGATAATGTTTGCCATAACGGTGCCATGTGACTTTGGTGCACTGACTGATCTCTCTCAGCTGCAGCCGTTCCTCTGTGAATGTGAAAATAAATGAATATTTCAGAGGATTGTGTTTTTTTTTTTTCATTTACTTGGATGTACAAGTAACTCAAGAAAAGAACTACAAATCCCTGTGTTGGTTGAAGTGTGATTTCAGGACAGAGAGAAAGGAGTTTAAACCACAGTGTTTCACCTCACTTTCATAACATTTACTCATCGCCATCTTCAGGAAAAAAAAACAACAAACAAACCCATCTTTCATCACTTTAATATGTTGTAACACCCAAGAAAAATCTTTTAAAATATTTAAAGTCTCAGAAAACTGTAATATCTCTTTGGTTGGTGTATTTTTTCAAAAAAAAAAAAAAAAACAAACAATCAAAAAAAAAAAAAAATGAAGAAGACAGAAATGAAAACTCTGGTTTGTTTTGTCCGGTACGAGAGTGTATTCGCCACTAGGGGGTGACGTACATGTTTGCGTCTGCGCTGTACATTTTTTGTGACAGATGTGTGTGTTTACATGCAGGTTTTAAATGGTCTATCTTTGTGACGACTTTATCAACACGTGAACGGAACGAGTGCCAAACATGCTTGTGCTTGAAAAATGAAAATAAAAAAAAAAACCCGGGTGCCTGGAGAGACTGCAGGTACTCGGAATCATCAACTGAGACTCCAGGGACTCTCTGTTGTCATAGACTCTTCATCGTGATACCAATGCACAGACGGACGTTCAACCCTGCCAGATATCGTTTTCGCAGATCGAGGGAACACTCCTGATGTTTTTGTCCAGAGTTTCTTTGTTGTGTGTTTTCTGTATCCATACAGACGCTATGAACCACGCTGCCCCCACAGGTGAAAAATCAAAGCGCTCTTTTTTACCATCATCATCATCATCATCATAATAATAATGACGACGATTATTATTATTGTTGTTGTTGTTTTAATTTTGTTTTTCGTTGGCCATCGGCGGAACTGTTTTGATCATTTCAATGCTTTAGGCCATTCTTCACGGAGACGCGTCACGCGTCGACTCCTTCGCGGTCATTTGAAAAATCCAAGTGAGCCTAACGTTTGGTGAATTTTACCCTGAATTTTATCAAATATAGAGTGTGGATTTGTGCAAAAATGTAAAAGTCAGTGTAATTCTAATATTAAAATGAAGCTATGAAAACACCTGTTTGTCCACGAGGCCGTGTCCGCTCTGTTTCTTCGGTGTCAGACTTAAACTACAGCAGGGGTTCTCAACCCCTGGTCCGGGGACCGGTGCCGGTCCGTATGTCCGCACGTTTTGGCTTTGACGCTACTAATAAAATGACCAGAGTAAAGTGATCGACACTGAGAACGATACTGTAAATATATATTTACTCATATAAAGTGAACATACTTTATAAATACATACAATAAATATATGTTGGATATACTGATTCAATGCATGTAGCTCTATGACACAATATTTACCGTATATGGTCACTGCTACACTGTAGAATTATATATTTATTCATATTTATTCATAAATATATAATATATGTACATATATTTATTACATATAAGTATATGTAATACATATATATACATACATACATATATAAATTTACATATATATATTTACATATAAATATATATTTACATATATATTTATATGTTTTAATGTAATTGCTCGGCACTGTAATCTACTGCTAGATCCCGACCCACATATTGAGCACCTCTGTTCTTGAGGCTGAGTAGATGAAAATATACCAACTCTGTGAACATATATATGTGTATATATATATATATATTATCACTCTCCAGTAGGTGGTGTCTTTCAAACTGCCATAAAGCTGTGTTTGTCTTTTCCTCTTTATACTGGAGGATCAATCACTGCCGTCCATTCCTTTCGTTTCTCTTTTCTTTTTTTTTTTTTCTTTTATTGCAGCTGTATATTAACTCTCCAGTATCTGTACAGTCTCTGAATAATTGATGGGACAGACAGTGTAATGTGGTCCTGGTGAGATGGACTGATTTACAGGAGCCGTGTTTGAAGTCGTGTTTGTCTTGATTAGCCGAGTAAATACGTCGGTGCCGACCGACCGACCGACCAACCGACCGACCGACCGACCAGGCTGAGGCCGAGGCCGAGGCCGAGGCCGGGCCCCGCTCACCTGTACGTTGGTCAGTTATGTAAGGCCTGGGGTTCTATTGTTGGTGTTGAATAATTCAGTGGGCTGCAGCGGAGCTCGGGTCGATGGACAATGCCGGAACACGGCGTCAGGAAACTCGCGTTACAGGTTGTCATCGGAGAGTTGGATTTGTTTTTGACCATTTGTAACATGATCACCTCAAACATCCAGTTTCCTGCCGGAGTTTTCACTGCAAACACTCACGCCGTTCCATTGTGTAACAAACCGCAGTTGCACTCGTCTGCACACACACACACACACACACACACACACACACAACAGGAAGTTGTGGCACGGCAGCAGAGAGAGAGAGAGATCTCCAAAAAGATGTTTCTGAGTTTCACAGAAGTTGGACAGATGTTTGTGAAACCCAGTAAAAAAAAAAAAACGAAGCATTTGAACGCCTCACCAGGAGGAAAGAACAACATCAACACATGTAGGTATTTATACCAACGAAACCACAGGGACTCACTCTGTGACTGCACTGTTGTGATTCTGATGATATCGATTTTTACACCTGCAGATTGATTGGTTCCTCTCGGTGTTTGAAGTTTGACTTCCTGTCTGTTTCTGTCTGACTTTCACTCAGTCACATCCTGACGGTGACAGTTGCTTCATTTAAACCTAATGACTGAAATCAACCCGTGAGTTGTGAAACTGCTCAAACCTTTAGAGCAGGGGTGTCAAACATACGGCCCGTGGGCCAAAACTGGCCCACTTTGGTTTTTCAATCCGGCCTGCTTGGTGATTTTTGAATTTTTTGAATATTTATTTATAAAATATATATTCAAGCTAACTTGCTATTATCATTTTCTACTACCAGACAGTTGATTCATTTAAACCCAATGACTAAAATCAACACGCGAGTTGTGAAACTAACCCTTAGAGCAGGTCAAACATACGGCCTGTGGGACAAAACTGGTTTTTCAATCCTGCTTGGTGAATTTTGAATTTTTTTTTTTTTTAAATACACAAACACTTGAAATTATATTTCACTAAAAATGAAGATTTGTCAACTAAGATAAACGACATGTCACTGACAAGTGATGCATAAAGGCTAAAAAGCTAAAATGCTATTATCATTTTCTACACCACCTATTGGGGAAACATGGGTATTGCAGG